CCTCAAAATATCATTAGAAATCTACCTAGGACAGGGGTCTCCAACCCCCGGTCCAGGGGCCGGTACCGGTCCGTAGGTCATTTGGTACCGGACTACAGTGAATTCAAATGTACTTCAGTTTTACTTTAATTTACTTCATTCAAAAAGTGAAAAAAAAACAATATTTTATAAATGTATCGTTCCTTCAACGATGGTCCACGTTAACGGCCGGTACTGACCGACCGGTCCTTGGTACCAGGAGGTCGGTCTGATACAGGAGGTAGTACAAACTACCAAGTAATTTGATACGTATCCCACGACGCCTCCTCTGGAGGAAACTGGAATATCCCCGTTTCAGCTCCAGTGATCGGAAAGTCACAGCAGTAGGTCACTGGTTAGGATTTTTTTTTTAGGCAGCGTCCACAGCTTCCTCGCATTAATTTTAGCAAGAAGTGGGAGTCGAGGCTTGGACGGAGGATTCAGAGTTTGATGCGAACGTGATCTGGGGCGGGGAGCCTACAGCTGAGACACTGCAAACGTTCCTGTGTGTGTGTGTGTGTGTGTGTGTGTGTGCAGCGATCATTCTGGAGAGAACTGTGAAAGACACGGTCTCCTCCTGTCTCCATGGAAACTCCATCTCTTTCTTAGCCGGGGAGACGGAGCCCTTCAACATCCAGAGTCCAGAGACGACGTTAGTCCACAACGGACTCACCAACGCCGATCGAAATCGAAATGGATTTTATTGAAAACTGTGACGTGATAAACTGATATTAAACAGCAGCGCTAACAACAGCGGCGCTAACAACAGTGGCGCTAACAACTGTGGCGCTAACAACTGTGGCGCTAACAACTGTGGCGCTAACAACTGTGGCGCTAACAACTGTGGCGCTAACAACTGTGGCGCTAACAACTGTGGCGCTAACAACTGTGGCGCTAATAACTGTGGCGCTAACAACAGTGGCGCTAACATTAGGGGCTGTCTAAAAACTTATTCATTGTTCAAAAAATTATGTTTTTAGAACCAGTGAATTAATGCAACTAAACCAGTAAATTTAAGACATGAATAAGAGCGACACCTAGAGGCAAAAAGAAGGGCATGGTAGGAATGTTGCCAAGAATGAAGGTGAGGTGAAAATAGAACAGAAGGAAAGAAAAAAAAAGACGAAGGGAAAGGGAAGGACGGGAAGAAGGAAAGGAGAGCCTTGCTTTTCACAGGCAGGTCCACGTAGCCACCTCCTGGCGAGCTTCGAGGGGGTTGTCATGGCGACAGTGGCAGGCAGTGGAGTCGTTGTATGGTATCCCTGTGGCCTGCAATGAGGCTCCGGGGATGATGGGAAAAAAAAAGAAAGAAAAAAAGTCAGTAAGTCAGGGGCTTTTACTGGTCAGGAAGGACATGGTTCTGGTCACAGGTCTGAACAGTGTTGGTGTGAATGCTGGTGTGAATGCTGGTGTGAATGCTGGTGTGAATGCTGGTGTGAATGTGTCCTGTGACTGGAGGCGATCACCTGTCTCTCTGAGTGTCAGAGTCGGTGGACGGACGAGGTGTTTCCGTTGGATGTTCCTGTTAGTGTTAATGAGTCAGAGGCACAGGCAGAGCACAGGGAGTCAGGAACTTCCTCTTCTGCCCCCCCCATCCCCCCCCCCCCCCCGCCGTACCACGACAGACAGCCCGC